TAACCCCATTATAGTTGTTTCCATTGTCTTTTCCATTCCTTCTAAACCCTAAACCCTAAACCTGTGCCAAACTGGTGTGCTGAGACTTTACTACTGCACTGTCTCGAAATCATGTTTGCTTCAATTTTGTTGGGGCTGATTATAGGGCGGGGAAACTGTATGCGTTGCTTAGGGCTTCATGAGTTCTGGGTGTTCATAGCTCGACCCTAAACCCCAAACCCATGTTCGCAGTTCGTTTAGCGACAAAGGGGATGAAGGCTTCAGTGCTTCTGGGTTTGGGGACTCAGGGCCCTACACCCTAACCCGTATAGGGCTTAGGGTTTACGGCTAACACTCCAGGCCCCTTTTCATTGGCCTTTACTCGTGAGGTTCCCAGATGTAGGCCACTTTTTGAAGTCTTTACCCTAGATCTTCAAATCTAAACCGCACAATATTCCTACACCAGGTGAAGGCTTCATACCAAGATTACACTTGCCAACCTATTTTCTTTTGGGGAGGATTGAGGCAGTGGGGCACTGGGGTCAGGTATCGAGTAGGATATAGGGCTTCATGGTTTGACAGCGTCTACGCTTGCAGGTTGTGTGCTTCACAGGTTTGTGTTTTTGTGGCTGGATGGCGTTGTGTTGAATGACAGCCTTGAAAGCCATGGGATGCTGGGGGCAAATGATTTCTTCGGCACCTTAAGATCCACAGCTTGTGCCTGTCGCGGCCGTCTTCCTCCAAGCACAAAAGGACAAGATCGCGCTGGCAACATTGACGTGGCTTTTATCTTCGGCGATCACTGCTTGGGCTCCTTACGAAGCGCGGTTGCGTTTCAAGCGCTCGTTGGTAGTTTCCCAAAATATGGGGAACCCCAATATACACCCCAACATACTATGCTCCTCATTATGGGGGCCCCGAGAAAGGTACCCCTAATTTTGGGAAACCCTACATACATATATATATATATATCCTTATACAACCCCTTTATACCCCTATATCCCTTTCAACGGTACGCCTAGTTTTTGGGAAACTCCCATGCATTGTTTCTGAATCCAACGCCCGAGGCTGGATCTGTACTAGCCAAGCTACAGCACTTGAGCCAAGTCTAAACTCTGTAAAGGGGGTTTTATAGGGTTTATTACAGGGAGATTATATAGGGGGATACACAGGGGACGACTATAGGGCTTGTTAAGAAGCTAGGAGTTTAGACTATGGCTTAATTGACCTCAAAGGTTCATGAGCTGCTTGACGCGCAAGCCCTCCAAACCCTGTATGTGCGCAATGCCAGTCCTGCAAGATATGCGCCATAGTCTAAACTCCTTAAAGGGGGGTTATATAGGGGGTTATATAGGGGACTACTCTAGGGGATATTAAGGGGGATACTAGGAGTTTAGACTATAGCTCATATGCGTAAGCCCCAAACATGGAAACTCAAAGCTTTGGCGAGCAGCCTGTGAAACTCCTGTAGAGCCCAAGGTCGGAAAAAACCCAAGCTATAACCAAACAATATCCCACGACCTTGTTTCCAATGCTGTTGTAGATCACACTATATGTGTGGGAATATACCTAGCCAAGTAGAACCCCTTGTATGGCCCATAGTTTCCGCCGCAAAGGCTGGAGGCTTACCTGAAGTCCGTGCGGCCATGGACAGCGCCCTGAAGGAGGCTTCATTTTACCGGGGGACTCGTTGAAAACAGTGTTCAAATTTTAGCTTGAAACCACCCAAAACGCAATTAGAATCTAGACTCATTGTTTGGAGGGCTCCAGGGCAGATTCATTTTCGGTGTCCAGGGATTGTTTGCTGTTTAGCTGTCGGGGCCTAGAGCTGTGGGTCCCAAGCTTGAGTGGGTCTAGTGGGCGTGGCTCTGACTTGGCCCCTTGCAGCGGCATTTTGTTTGGAAAGGAGCTATCAAGGCATTGCTTGCAGACGATGAAGGGATCAGTGGATGTCTTGGAGATTTGAGGTAAGGATACGATTTTTTTTGGACATGTGCAGGGTTTGCTGTTTGCACTACATGTTGGTCTGAAGGCTGTAGTTGTGTTGTTTTCGTTGTTGTTCGTTGATGAATACTTGATCATTTGCAATTTGAGCTTGTGCTTCGATGCTGCTGCGGCTTTTTGTTAGGAAGCTGGACTTGAAAAGCAGGTAATTACTTCAGTTCCAGCAACATCAGTCATGCAATTTTCCACCAGGGGTCTATGTCTCATTATGCTGGCTGCATCACGGCTCCAGGACCAGGACTTGCAAAGCCATCTTCCAGCTGTCATCATGTCACGGTTACCGTCATGTGCATTTTTTCGCCTGTTTGCAGCCGCCGTGGCCAGTGTTTTGGTTTCCGCCTTGTGTTCTCTCTCTTCTCTCCCAGTCAACTTCGCAGCGCCCCGCGGCAGACAGCCTACGGTAAATGTTCTGCGGGAGCGAAACGGCTTAAGCATCAGCAAGCCGGTCCCTCATGAGGAGAAGTTTTTTGTTTCTTCCCTGACTGCCCGTGAGAAGCAACTGACGGGCATGCTGGTCCAAGCAGGTCGTGACGGTGATTGGTCCCGCGTGGTGCGACTTTGGCGAAAGTACTCAGGGAATGAAGTTCCAGTCTACTGCGCAGCAATGCAGGCGGCGTTCTATTGCGGGCAATTTGCGAGTGCTGCCAAGATGTACAAGAAGCTGCGAGGCCTGCCTGGTGTCAAGCCCAACTCAGTGCTCGTGCACCGCGTGCTCAAAATATTTGGCAAGCTTGAGAAGCAAGACGAAGTGAACAACATTTGGTCCGAGGCCGTGGCTGAAGGCCTGGTGGATCGTCTGGTGGCTGCGGCGCGCATTGAGGCAGCCGCAAGCATGGGGGACATAGAAGGGGCTGCTTCCGGGCTCGACTTCATGATCGAAAACGACCTCCATCCTGAGGTTCCTGCCTTCAATGCTGCCATCAATGCATGCGCAAAGGCCAGTCCGCCCAGTCCGTCTGCTGCTGTGTTTATCTACCAAAGTATGCTCAAAAGAGGTTTGCAGCCAACGATCGTAACGTTTACCAGCTTGGCGAGGGCACATTTGCACGCACGATGTGCTTCCCTTAAAACCGTACGCAGTTCAATGAATGAATCCGGCATGACGCCAGACAAGGTTTTCGCTGAAGCATATTTAGCAGCAATCTTTGGAGGAAATTTGGGTCCCGCAGAGCAGATGTCACCCCATGTGGCACAGATGAGTACTGAGCGTCAACACGAACTTCACCAGGCATTGAAGGCCTTCAAAGCCAGTAAGGCGATGTCAGGATTGTGCAACGAAGTTCACAAGGCAGTCCGACTGTGCCGCTCCAGAAACTAAGCTGGCTCAGTCTCTGCACCTAAGCTTGCAGTACTAACTCGTGTCTACGAATGCTGCAGTGAAGGGTTGTTCTTATCGTTTGCCCGTTTGCGGAGAAAAGGTGAGCAGAGGCAGAACTCCTTTCCATATAACCCCTGCAAATCGGTGCAAAACAGTGCATGCAGATTGGCCCTGTACGTTGGAAGGCACTGGAGGGGATGCCGTTGATGATACTGCTGGTTTGATGTGCTGGCAGTGGAAGTTGATGTAGACAGTTTCGCTCATTGACATTTCAGGTCTTGGCCAACCTGACTAGCACAGAAAGAGGTTGGAGGGGGTTCAATTTTTTTGCGGGCTTCGACATGAGGCAACGTTCACATTTTTGGTCTCGCCTTTGTTGTCCTTGTTCTGTGAAAGCAGGCGTGTTAAACTCGTTGTGGAGAATACATCCCTTACCAACCAATTTTCGAACATTCTTTTTGTAACCCAACTACGCTTCCCAAGAGCACCCTCTGAGCATGTTGGCCTTGCGTTCAGAAATGCCGCCTCAGTTAGAAAACGATCGATTACATGCTTTTGGCAGAGATTCAACACATTCGCTCCAAACACAGAGTTGCCACCACAAGGGTTTCATATGATTCATATGTGAGCAAGAGGTCACTTGGTGTGAGAAGCTCTGATCAGATTCCCAAGCCCTTCCTTCTCCCAGGTTCAAGGCCTATCCCAGCCCCATCAGAAAGACTGAATTTTGGAAAGCTCTCCTAAGCACCTTCTGCATACAATGCAAGCGCCAGGTGTCGGCAATGTATATGCAAACCATGAAGAGGCACTGGGCAACGATGCCGTTGGTAAATGTGCGCGTCTACGAACCTACGGTTCAACAGCTTCGCGTAGAGGGCACGAGGTCTAAGCTTGAGGGGCTATGGGTTTGATTCAAGGTTTTGGGCTTCAGCCATTCCGCTTGAGGAGAAAGGGTTCGGCTGCCGTGAAAACTGGCGTAAGTGTTCAGTTCAATGCAATATGAAGAGCTGTAGCCTCGGTATACGGTATACTTGCAAGTGTCGTTGTGATGCAGCTTTTGGGGATGTTGGGCTCCTGCAGTCCATGTGCAGCCAGTTGCGACTGCCATGGGCTCCAAATCCCTGCTCACGCACCCGGCCACACAACCACCCATGCATTCAAATGTCTTGGTAAAGTACCTTGCTTTCACAAACTCTCGCTCGTCTGCAGGATGATTTCATCTAAGGGCTTTGAGCTGTTAGACGGGTTGTAGGCTCTAGGCTTTCCACCGTGGCCAGAGGATGCCTGAAACAGCCAATCTTGACTGATCACTAAGGCCCTAAACACCCGCTGATATTGTTTCAGGCTGCTGGAAGATGTGCACAACAATGCCAAGGCAACGCAATTGGTGAAAGCCTGAGCCATCGTATTGGAGGGCTCAGGTAAGGGCTTGCCAAGTTCTGTAACAACACTAAACCCTGAACCGCAACCGGTCTAGGGCGTACTCACCCAGATAGGCAGGGCTTCTGTTAACTGTCCCAAAACATCCCAAAACCGTGTCAGATGGTTTTAGACTTGAGGGAATACTTTTTGGGGCGGTGCCACTATCAGTTCCTTGTCTCCTGAACCCTCCATGGCATGCTGCAAGGCACCAGGGGGACACCCGAACATACCCGGTAGTTTTCGAACATGGGGCTGGGGGAGGGAAAAGGTGTAAGGAACTTCCGAGACTCCTTTGGATAGATGCCCCCAACAAAAACAAGGACTCCACGTTTTACTTGAGGTCTCCGCCTGTGAGCAGTCGGTGCGAACGGCCGTTCAGCGTGAGGAGCGCGCTGGGTTTGTTTCAGATCTGGTTTGGAAGTTTCTCTGTTGTTGTCGGGCTTAGTGTTTACAGTTCCCAGTGGGACTGTGGATCTTCGAACGAATTATTTGCTTTTTGGAACGAGTTCTTGGGTTTCTGTGAGGGTATGACAACTAACGCCTCCCGCAGCCAGGGCTTAATAGGGACTTCCCAAAGCTGTTCGGCCTCGTGTGTGGCAGGGAGTAGCTTCTTGACGGGAGCCTGTGGCAAATTCACGGTTCAGGGGTTCGAACTTTCACGTTAGTTTCCGTCCTTGACCCTGAGCTATTACCCCCCTAGCCTGAACCCCAAACCCTGAACAGCAACCCCGAAGAAGGTGCAGACTTTTGAGGCCGAGCTCAAAAAGCGGTCTGCAACCTCGAGGCCAGGGGTTGCGGCTCATAGACATAAACTCAAATGGGGTTTCCCAAAATTGGGATTATATTGGGGTTTATGTAGCGATAATGGCAAAGAAAATGGAAACTACTATTTAGGGTTGGGGTCTAGGGTTTAGGGTTTCCCAAAATTAGGGGTACCCTTATTGGGGGTCCCCATAACAAGGACTATAGTACTTTGGGGTCTATATTGGGGTCCCCTAATTTTGGGAAACTACCAAATACAAAGGTGTATGCGTATCTGTGTATAGGGTTTAGAGTTTAGGGTTTAGGGTTTAAGACATAAAAGAGTATATAAAGGTACATGCATGTGTATATATAGAAGGATATATAGGGATATATGGGGGTACAGAGGGATAGTCAGGGATATGCAGGGAGAGAAAGGGGTAGATCAAAACAGCTGTTGGTTTTTATTCTGGCGACTCTCAGTTGAAGAGCCTCCCATACGGCACAAGACTCAGGACGGTCATACCATCATGGCACCCAAAACACCTAGGCCTTAGCCCTAAATTGCGCATCTGAACGAGGTGAAAGGCCACAATAGCAATATGCATCATTCTCTCAGTAGTAGAAGCATACGCATTTATGGAAACAGCGACAGAAGCAGCACAATTCACGCAGGTAGGGGCAACAGGGGGAGCAGGAGGGTGAAGACTAGTGGGAGCACGGAGACCTGGGAGTGTTATGGGGCTCGGTAAGTATATTTAAATAGGGTTTAGGGTTTAGGGTTTGGGTTTAGCCATCATAAAATGACCCCAGTTACACCCATCACAAATCTACTTGCCAAGGCCTCTGACCCTGAGGCCTAACCTGTGTACTAAGTCCCCCTGACCCTACAAGGGGGTCGAACCTCTTGTTGCCCCCGGATTACAGCAATAGCAGTACTCACTGAGCAGTACCAGCACTACTATGCTCGTGCAAGTACAGCAACGTAAGACACAGTCAGCAGATGTTACTTTGGGTGTCTGATTTCTGCCTATGCAACTGGAATAGGCTTTGGGATATATTCGGTTATTCGCATATATACATTATTTTAGGGGAAAAGAACGGGACAATGATGGCAATCTAGAAGCCTGACTGATATTCAAGATTCTGGTCCTAGAATGCTGACCACTCTGGTATAAGCTACTGTACTTCAATGAGACCTCCGAACGATGTAAGTATTCAAAATTCGACACCCCATAAATAGTGTCCCATTTCATTTCCCATTTTATTTTCCGTCTTGATCTACATTTTGCAATCAATGAAGTCTAAACACCCCCCGCACCCCCCAAAAAAATCCTATGTGAATAACCTCCTCCAAAGGGAAACCCTAAAACCTAAGTCAGACAAACCCTAAACCCTAAACCCTAAACCCTAAACCCTAAACCCTAAACCCTAAACCCTGTGCAGAGCGATCATCAGGTCAAGTTCAGCTGCCTCAGCGGGATACTCAGATGGCCAGTTCCAAGAACTTGGGCTCCAATGGTTTAGAATTTAGGGCTTTAGGGTTTAGGGTTTAGGGTTTAGGGTTTTAGGGTTTAGGGTTTAGGGTTTAGGGTTTAGGGTTTAGGGTTTAGGGTGTAGGGCAGGGTTGTATAAGGGTTATGTAGGGGCTGTATAGAGATTGTATAGGGGTTATACAGGTTGAGAGTTTCCAACATTTTGGGGGCCCCTATACTAAGGATTAGAGTATATTGAGGTCTGTATTGGGCCCCCGCAGCTATGGAAGCCCTTGCAGACCAAGTAGTTGGATAGGAGCTATGAAAATTGTTGGTTAGCCTTCCTGCATGCCCTCAGTTTGACACCAGAATCGCGCATTGCGCGGCTGCCGCTAAGCATGTTGGCCGCGCCGATCACAAGGCTAGTGGTGTTGCAGTCCAACCTCTTGCTACCTCCAAGCCCTAAGCCCTAAACCCTGAGCCCTATCCCCTGGTCATGCCTCACAGCTGTGACCCACCCTTCTCAGCTTCTTGCATGATCTTGTCATGCTAGGGGCGGGGCCCTGTAAGGGGAGTAGTAACCTGAAGGCATTGCCGATTTGGTCTGCGCAGTCCTCAAATTTTCCCAGCATACTCCATACGTATCAATGTATGTATATATATTATGTATAGATATACATATAGAGATATATACATATGTATATATA